AAGGCCTTGTCAATGAAGTGGCACCTAACTAAATTTTTTTTTTAATTTTAATGCTACTTCAGTATATACAAATAAACAGTATGTTTTTATTCAACTCTAACTTTTTTCCTTTTTTTTTTTTTTTTTTGAGACAGAGTCTTGCTCTGTCGCCCAGGCTGGAGTGCAGTGGCAAAATCTCGGCTCACTGCAACCTCCGCCTCCCTGGTTCAAGTGATTCTTCTGCCTCAGCCTCCCAAGTAGCTGGGACTACAGGTGTGTGCCACCATGCCTGGCTTATTTTTGTATTTTTAGTAGAGGCGAGGTTTCACCATATTGGTCAGGCTGGTTTCGAACTTCTGACCTCGTGATTTGCCCGCCTTGGCCTCCCAAAGTGTTGGAATTACAGGTGTGAGCCACCATACCCGGCCTCAACTCTAACATTTAAAAAATGTCTAACATTAAATACAAACTAAATGGCAAAACCAATAAAAATTTAATTTACAACATATATGTGATAGGCAGTAATATGTTGCTAAAATAAATTCCTTGCTTGCCATGTAAATTAATATAGGTTAGTGTTTTAAAGTGAAGGCTTTTGGGCCAGCCTGTTTGAGTTTGAATCCTTGGCTTTGCTGCTTTCATTGTGTTTGCTCATAGATAAATTGATAGCCTCTCTATACTTCAGTTTTATCACTTATAAAATAGGAGTTCCTAACTTACAGAGCCATTGTGAAGACTGAATGAGTTAATACATGTAAGATGAACAGACAGCTCCAGACATGGTTATGTTCAATAATTCTCTGCAATTATTACTGACTACTATGGCAAAGATTATTTTAAGCCCAGTATTTCTACCATTTAATGTGGTGACCCAATTACGTCATTTGCATTTATACTACTATGAAACCTTGGCTCTGATATTGAGCTGTGACATCATTTGGCATTCATTGACATGACTGCATCATTAACTTACTTGTCTGCCTCTAAAGAAAATACTTATTTCTTTATAATGAGAAATACAGCTATCACATGGGCTAGATTACTTAAGTGAGCATTCTCATGACGGTCAGCAATCTCACACCTATTCTGTCTCCCAGGAGATAACTAGAAAATTGAGTCATTGAGAATTCATTGTGATAGTTATAGAAATTCTGAAGTTCTTTCCCTACAGCATAGCTACCAAGAAAACCAAGGCATAACATGAAATTAAAGACCCTCAACTAGAAAACTGTATTCATTTCTACACTGTAGGTAGCAGGACTGATCCTTTTTAAAGATCAATCTTGGAAGATAAATAGAATTTTTCAAAAGGGAAAGGCATCTAGGTGGTAGATACAGTTTGAGCACAGGTATAAAGATAAAACATATGTTTTATGTCCCAGTCAGTGAGTTATGTGACTTAGCCAGAGTATAGGATATAGTAAAAGAAATAGAGATTAACCTGAGAAGATAGGTTAGAGCCATTTCCCAGAAGACTCTCCATATCAGCATAAGAAATGAGGTATGTACTCTTTCCTTGCTCCCCAATTTTGTTTTTGTTTTTTGAGCAGTAAAGTGGTACTAACAGAATTGTACTTTGGGAAGATTAATCTGGAGACCTAGTATTTGAATCGGTTCGAACCTAGAGAAAAGTAAATCAGAGAGAAGTGATCACAGTAGTTCAACCAAGAGTATTTTAAACCAAGAGTCTTCTAAATTGATTGAAGTTTCTTTTGCCAAGGTTAAGGACACGTCTAGAAGACAGGTATGTACCTTTCTCCAAAGATGATTTTGAGGGCTTTAATGTTTAAAGGGGAAAAGTAGGCTGAAGAGCAAAGAGGGAAGGTGTGGTAATCCACATGTTGCCAGAGGAAAGGAGCAAGCAAGGGAATAGTCAATTATGTATTTTCTTTTGCTTAGTAAGTTGGGACTTTACATAAGATAAGGTGAACGTAGAGTAATTACCTGTGGAGATATTTAACCTGTTATCTGTAGCTATCTGCTTAGGAACAAAAGGAAAAGCAGTTTATTGCATGACTCAGCTTGCAGCTTAATTTTTTTTCTTTTGAAGTAGTGGATTGGGGACCCAAGTTTTTATTTTATTTTTAGTGTCAACAGTCTAAAATAGGCAAGAAAATACTTTATGAGAGATGTCATGGTGTTAGACTATGGAGTTTGGCCATCTATTGTATATGACGGTTGACAGCAGAGAGACAATTTAAAACTATTATCAAAATTTTAGCCTGGGCTGGGTACAATATCTCACACCTATAATCCCAGCACTTTGGGAGGCTGAGGCAGGAGAATCACTTGATCCCAGGAGTTCAAGTCTCCAGTCAGCCATGATCACACCACTGTGACAGCCTGAGTGACAGAGCAAGACTCTGTCTCAAAAAAAAAAAAAGTTTGAAGGAATGATAGTGGCAATAAGAAGCCAGGTATGTAGTCTGATTTTTGTGGAAAGTAATAAAGAGGTTTTGGATATGTGGAATTAGGGTCTAGCAGAGTATACAGGTATAGACATCCAGCAAGTAACTGGCAAATCCAGAAGTACAAGTAGGGATACAAATCTGGGAGTTATCTTACAGATTATCGTTGAAATTGTTAAAGCTCACGGTGGGAGAGAAAGAAAGAAGATTGAGGATTGACACTGAACAACGTTGACTCACCTTCAGGAGAAAGAAAGGGGAGAGGAAATCCAGAAAGGAATAATTTAAGAACTAAGAACGCTAAGTGTTCATATGCCAAGATAGGAGAAAATTACAAAAGGGAGGAGGTGGTCTGAAGACAAAAAGGACTATAGGATTTGGTGATTGGAAGTCATTGGTGACCTTTAGAAAAACATGTTCTTCCCGTCTACCTCATATATTGTGAGATTACAGGGGAATAGAGAATGAATGCTGAAGAAATAGAGGCAGTGCATGCAAACTGTTCTTACAACAAATTTTGCAGTCAAAGAAAGAGGAAAGAAGATGGGAAGAGAGTGATAATGGGTTCCAAGAAATAGTTGTTTTGTTTTCTTTATAGAGGTATATAATTTTAGTTGAGAGAACGAGCAGAGAAAGATAATAATTAAGTAATCAAAAGGACAGAGTGTCTGCGTGAGTTTTGTAAGGAGGCTACAAGAAGTGTGATCAAGATCATCAATGGATGGTTTCACCTTGAAAAGGAAATAGACCTAATTCAGAGACTAGGGGAAAGGAGTAGTGAGAAGATGTAAACAAGCTTTGAGGGAGAAGGAAAGAAAATGTAGAAAGCATTTATCAGAAGTCCTCAGTGTTCTCACAAAAGATAAGGGAATTAGCTAGGGAGAGAGGTAGAACTGGGGTTGGAGATGGTGGTGGGAAAAGGTCTGGAACAGCCATCACTGCATGTTTATTAAGGAGTTCAGTAAATGAGTAAAAGGGGTTTTAAGGATGAGCTGGAGTCAGCTAGCATGGGTGTATGGTGGAGAATGAGAATGTATCTTTTTCCCAGAATATTCAACTCAATGATGGCAAGAAAAGTATTGCAGAATATGGCCCAGGACTGGAAAGATGGCAGAAGATCATGAGGACAAAGGATTCTAATGATTTACCAAGTACTTTGTTGAAATTACAACAGGAACTCCTAGATGGGCAAGGATGCAAGTGAAGTCTAAAAAGGTTACAAGGAGGAAATTCAGTAGATGAATAGAAAATGTGAAAAGAGTGGAAATTGCTGTCAGGTTTTTAAGAGTTTGAGATATTGGAGCTGAAGCATGTCTAATATTGAAGTCTAAGTTTACGTCAATTGGTGACTGAAGTGAAATGGAGTTGGAAACTATTGGTTTACAAAGATAGACAGTCTGTAGGGCAGAAGTGTTGGTAGATTCATTCACCAAGTGTATTGGCAAGAGAGAGAGTAGAGGGAAGATTATGAATGCCTTGGAGAAGGAAGATTGTGACAAGGAAAATGAGAGAGTTGAATAAGTGAGTGACTTGAGCATTAGCTGAGCAGAGGATAGTTGGTGAGTCAAGATGGAAGAATAGTAGTACAGAAGGAACAGTGAAATGCAAGGGCACTTTGATCTTTCTTTCATTATTTACAAATCCTAGCCCTAGCTCCAGCATGAATCTCACTGAGTTTGAAGTTTCTTCATCTGTGGAAACAAGATAAAAATAATGTCTGCCTCATAGGGTTAGCATGAGAATTAAATGAGATAATGTATGTAAAGTATAGAACCTGTCAAAATAAATATATCAGATGTTCTTGTTGCTGCTGCTGCTAACGATGACATTGACATGTATAAAAGATATGTAATCTTGCTGTGCCACTGAATACAGCATAGGATAGATTATTACATGTGACCGATGTCACTCCTAACAGCAAAAAGTATTAATACAAGTATTCCTTCACATCTCTCACCTCTAAGTGGTAGGAGTGACCTACATTGAAATTTTTTTAAGGATTTATATCATCACAGGAATATGGGTTTTACTAAATTTTGATTAAAAAATGACTAATTCAGTAATTTGGATGTAATGGATAGGAGTATCCGTGGAATCATGGGAAGTTGTTCACTATGAGAAGCCCAGTAGAATGGGCTAGTATAGATTTATACCACATCAAAATAAATTGGTGGAGAGTTTCATAGAGTTATATTTTTACAGTTGCAGCTGGCAATGCCAGGGCTTAGGAATATAAAGGATAGGGTGGTAACCTGGAAGAACATGCTGTCTGTAAGGAAGCAGGTTAATGCTCATGGAAGACATACTAATACAGTAACAGATTCCCAAGTGTCAAAACGAGACAGGCATAGAAGCTAAGAGGAAGGAGAAACCACTTTTTATTTTACCTAGGTTCTCTTCAGACGGCCTGTGAAACTTCAGTTCTAGAAAAACGTAGTTTTGAAAATGAAAAAAGTTCTAAGTTCTGAGCTCTAAGTAACTTTGCCCATACTTCTAGTCCTTGCAATTTGCTCTGAATGAGTTTGCTATTTAAAGTTTGGCCATTTGAAAATAAATTGTTGGCTTGTAATAGCCTTCTTCCTTTCTTACTACTCTTTTTTGCTGTTTTGACAGGTAAATGGCCAAGACCTAAAGAACCTGCTGCACCAGGATGCCGTAGACCTCTTTCGTAATGCAGGTTATGCTGTGTCTCTGAGAGTGCAGCACAGGGTAGGTATCACCTCGAGCCAGAAACCTGGCACCAGGCTTTTGCACTGTACTTTGAATAAACCCAATGTGTGTAATCTTCAGTGTTGCTTTTTGTTTGTTCGTTTTACACTCATTCCCCTGAAGAGTTTCTCAGGCAAAGGGAGGGATCCATTGGTACTTCTGCTTATCATTGAAGGACATTCAGGCCAGGCACAGTGGCTCACATCTGTAATCCCAACACTTTGAGAGGCCAAGGTGGGCAGATCACTTCAGTCCAGGAGTTCGAGACCAGCCTGGCCCATATAGCAAAACCTCGTCTCTACTAAAAATACAAAAAATTCAGGCACAGTGGTGCACACCTGTAGTCTCAGCTACTTGGGAGGCTAAGATGTGAGGATTGCTTGAGCCCAGAAGGTGGAGGTTGCAGTGAGCCAAGATCATACCACTATACTCCAGCCTGGGCAAGAGAATGAGACCCTGTCTAAAAAAAGAAATAGAAAAGAAAAGAAAAAAAAGGAGAAATTCACAACAGTAGGGCTTATAACCGAGGTCCTTGCTCCAAGGTAATATGCCTTAAAGATAAAGCTTGACAACCAAATTAAAATAGATGGTTAAATGAAAAGCCAGGTGTAGTGACTCACATCTGTACTCTCAGCACTTTGGGAGGCCAAGGTGGGATGATTGCTTGAGCCCGGGAGTTCAAGACCAGCCTGGGCAACATAGAGAGACCTCATCTCTTAAAATAATAATAATAATTATAAAAATAAAGAAAAGATTTTAAGAGTCACATGGACCAATGGAAAATAAATAAGGTTAAAAAAACATAGCCGATTTTACTTTTTGGTAGGGAAGGAACCATATGTCTATCCTTGAAAACTTATTTATAAAACCATTTGATAAAACACTACAAAGATGGTGGGTTTTCTGGTACCCACTATATGCTTTTCCCTGTCACTGCCATGAACCCTTCATTTATCAACTTGGTGACCCTCTTAACCAAATCTTCAGTGTTCATAGGAGAACTCCAGGAAAAAGGAAATGGAATTCAGAATTAGTCAAGGCAGCACCTATCCCTGCATCTGTTTCTTATTTCCTAGTGTTTTATAATTTGGATGATGATATAAAGGGAAGCCTGGGTAGGTATAATTCCTCCTATAGCATTGAGAATTTCTGAGTGTATTCACAAAACAGGTTCCATGTGCCTTTAAATTAAATCCGTTTGCTACTTATAGGTGCACTCTTTTCCTTACTCAGTGGCTAAGGATTTAGAAGCTTAAGAAGATTTAGAGGAATTCCTAAAAAAGTAGGGAAGGCAGAACGTGAGAGATACCTGAGAAAACAACCAGTTGCAAGCAGAATCTGGGTGTAATGGATTAGAAAACAGATTAATAAGAGATAATATTGGTCGTCAGTTGCTTCTGCCTTGGCTCTTCTCTTTCTAAAGCATGGGAGCATTTGTGCAGTAGATACGAACAAGTAAATATAGGCACACACTTCAATATGATTACAATTCTTTTGGAAGGTATGTGAGAAGTTATTTCCAGTGTTCACTTGTAAGGAAACATCCATAAATAATTCCTAATAAAAAGGACCCTGCTGTTCAGGGAATTGTCCTATCCCTAAAAACCATGCCTTCCTATTGAGCATGTTCTTTCAGGACAGCTCATCAGCAAATGAATGAAAAACGTAGAGGTGGAATAGAGGGTATAATGGTATTTCATGCAGTCTTGCCTTTCAGATTGAAGTGTCAGTTTTATGAGTGTAATGAGGAAGTTAACTCTAACTGAAATACGATGGTGCCATAATTATTGCAACTTAGCCACTAAAAGTTGATATTAAGAAGAGCTACCCTGAAAACCATCACTAAAATGAAGACCATCCAGCCTCAAAAGGAAACACTTAGCCAATAGAAAATTATAACCACCAGGATATAATTTCTTTTTACTTTTTTACATCTGTTCCATATAGATTCACCTTCATCTCTCTCTAGTATTACCAATGAACAGATGAAGGGCAAAGCCCCATCTTTGGAGGGAGTTGGGTGCCTTCTGGGATTTGGAAAGCATTTTTCAAGTAATGGCACTGGACCTGTGTTGGTATTGCACCTATGTTGACATTGCCCACGTCTGTTCTTACTACATTTTGATGACTGATTATCTAAGTAAACATTTCCAGAAAGATCCCCTGTCTTCCTCGCCAAGTAACATCCAAGTTCTCTATAAGATCATAGGTTTTATCTCATGTCTTCATTTTCCTGATACGATATACAAATAGCAAGGTAGAGGCAGTACAGAAACAGAAATTACCTGACTTGCCTTCAGGGGTCCCTTTAGGTCAGCAAGGTTAAATGCCTCCCCATCAGACCTATTTTCTTTCCAAAGATCATGTGACACTGATGAATCAGCTCAGGACAAAGGGAGGACTCCTGCTAGGTATTGCTGGGGGTTACAGTTTTGGGTGGTCTAGAGTCTACAAACCCAGGTGATGTATCAACCTGGGAGTTTCAGTTGTAAACACACATTAGTCACCAGAGTTAACATTTTTCTTTCCCTTCCAGTTACAGGTGCAGAATGGACCTATAGGACATCGAGGTGAAGGGGACCCAAGTGGTATTCCCATATTTATGCTGCTGGTGCCAGTGTTTGCCCTTACCATGGTAGCAGCCTGGGTTTTCATGAGATACCGGCAACAACTTTGAAAAACTTGCTCTCTCTCAGTACTCCCAATGAAGATACATTTCACTCATCCTCCATCCCTGCTATTCTGCCATGTCTTTTACTGCATAGCCAGATTTGAAGTGACTGATGCCCACCCCAAACCTTGCTGTTCAGAATCTCCAGTTCTTCGTATTCTAATGGGAAAGTAAAGGTATTGTTTGAAGGAAAACTGAAGAAAAGACTTGCTTAGAACAAATGAGTTACATATTTTACTAGGACTTCCGATAGAAATTCAGCTACAACCCAAAGAGAGAAAGATTGAGTCTTCGTGTCACCATAGGCAATATCATTTTTCTTAGCTGGCATGCCATAAAGACCAGCTGTGTGATATTAGAGGAAGAAAGGATTTTTCTTTTTAATGATCTTCCTTGGGAAATTATTGTGGCCTTTATTTAATTTCTAATTACATACCTGGGTGCCTATATCAGACAAAGGAGAGTAAGAAGAACATTTTTACTTTTTTAAAAAAGCAAATACATATATACACATACATATGTAAATATTATAGTATAGTGATACTTATGGAGAATTAAAGGTGAGAAAGCTACTTTGTGGTGTCTAAGTTTCTGATAAAAGGGATGATCTTAATTGAAGAATTTAAAGAGATACTTAAAGAGCAAAAGTAGTAGGAGCAACAGAGTGAGCCTTATAAGAGGACGTTCAGTCTCATTTATTAAAATAATGACTGAGACTGGGAGAGGTGGCTCACACCTGTAAATCCCAGCACTTTGGTAGCATGAAGTGGGAGATTGCTTGAGTCCAGGAGTTCGAGACCAACCTGGGCAACATAGCAAAACCTCATATCTATTTTTAAAAAAAAATAGAAAAAAAAATGTAGTAACTGAAGCAACTATTTAAAAATCTTAGAAGAACAATATTTCTTCTTATAAGAACCAACTATGGTGGGTTATTATAAGGTAGATTGCCATAATCCAGCACTGCTCACATCTAAGAAACTGTGAGGTGTAAAGGTAAATCGTACCAATCTCTGGGCTGCCCTAGTGAATTTGTTGATACCTCACAGTCCTGTTGAAGAACAGTGGAATGATTGTGGTAAGGGCTATGGTGCTGGGGCCAAACACCCCAGCACGAAAACTCCAAAAGGACAGAAGATAGGATAGTGCCTCCAAGGTGGCACCTGAACCCTCTCAGGCTATCTTTTTGGTTCTAGTACCAAACAAACCTGAGGGAAGGAGCTGCCTCCCTGGCAGGATGGGCATCACATCAACTCTGCTTCATATTTAGTTAAAATGAGGCCGGGTGCAGCGGCTCACACCTGTAATCTCAGCACTTTGGGATGCTAAGGCAGGCAGATCACAAGGTCAGGAGTTCAAGACCAGCCTGGCCAACATGGTGAAACCCCATGGCTACTGAAAATACAAAAATTACCTGGACATGGTGGCGCATTCCTATAATGCCAGCTACTCAGGAGGCTGAGGCAGGAGAACTGCTTGAACCAGGACCTGGGAGACGGAGGTTGCAGTGAGCCAAGATCACACCACTGCACTCCAGCCTGGGCTACAGGAGTACATTTTTTTGAGATGGCTACTCCATCTCAAAAAAAAAAAAAAAAAAGGGGGCCATGGATTGCTAGTATTTTTGAAAGGCTTTATACACTACATACGGTTTTTAATTAATCAACCTTTTTGCAGCAAGAGGGAGGAAAAGAGTTTTGTTTGCTTTAGGAGGTAGGGAAATGTGGTAGGTATTTCATGCGGCCTAGGAGGAAGATATGAATGAATGGATACTACAGAATGCCAGTGATATCAATAAGGTGGGAACCATCCTGTTAATGTTCTTTTAAGGCTGGTTTTAAGCACTGTGGGTAGCTGAATTTTCTAGTTTTAAGAAATTCATTTCCATTAACCAAATATATTGGCCATACTATAGGCCTTATATAATTTTGACAGCAAGATTATCAGGACTCAGGCAATCGATTGTATTTCATTTCTAGCTTGAACAGTCTAGTAATTAAACAAATGTTGATTGGATATCAGCTTTGTCAAGACACTTTTACAAAGAAGTACTGTGCATATCCTCCATCCCATAGGGGTTTTGGGTTCCAACTGCAAAGAGAACACTCTTATTAGCCACATAGGTAGGACAGTGTAAGTAGGGGTCATGTTTATATTACAGACAGCAAAAGAGAAAAGTTACTGAGAACTGGGGCATTTGAGAAAGTTATGTGGAGGAAAGGGACAAGTTAAAGACCCTTAAGGAGCTCACAGCTTAGTTGAGAGAATTCATAAACAGGTGAGAAGTTAAAAGTATATCAGCAGGCTAAGTGTTGAAAACAATATTAAAGGGGTACCATGCAAAACACGATGCAGCAACAAAGAAAATATGCAGATAGTCATCACATTTTCACGCCTGTAATCCCAGCACTTTGGGAGGCCGAGGCGGGCGGATCACAAAGTCAGGAGATCGAGACCATCCTGGTTAACATGGTGAAACCCCATCTCTAGTAAAAATACAACAAAAATTAGCCAGGCGTGGTGGCGGGTGCCTGTAGTCCCAGCTACTCTGGAGGCTGAGGCAGGAGAATTGCGTGAACCCGGGAGGCGAGCTTGCAGTGAGCCGAGATCACGCCACTGTACTCCAGCCTGGGTGACAGAGGGTTACTCTGTCTCAAAAAACAGCAAGTGAGAAAAGATGTCACATAATGGCATCAGGCTAGATTGGAAAGGGAAGGCTTTTAAAAATAAAAGGTCCAGTAAGACCTTGCCTCTGGGTCACTATTGGTATAGGGAGAAACTTGCTTTAAACAGTCCTGACATAAAGTGCCTTTTGACATCAATTTTTTAATACCTATGAGACTCACTTAGACAACTGGACTCATTGTAGGTTCCCCAGAAAAACACAGACAGTATTCCAGTTGTCACTCCAACCAGCCACACTAGGAGGGCACAGCCTCTGGTACCCTTCCTGTTTCTGAAGGTATGTACAGTGGCTTCTACAGCAAGCCTGCTTACCTCCCAGGATTCACCTCATGGTTTGGACACTAATTCCTGAGAGAACCTTGAGACGCACAAAGTGAAAAAAATGTCAAGCAGGAATGAAAGCTCTAGTTTTTTGCTTGTTGGTATATGTAAATTTGTTTAAAAAGTATTCATCCTCTCCTGTCATTGGTAGAAGTTTTGCTTTGCTTGATAATAGGGATTCTGATGTACTCTTATAACTTAGGTTTTCTTAGAAATTAAATAGCATTTAAGATCAATGTAATACAGTTTTAAGCAGGTACACTAATTATATTATTGATTCTATAGAAAACTAAAATTATAGATGAGGTATCAGAATCCATTATAGGTTGTAAAAAAATTCATGTTCTTCATAGATTGAGTCTAATATTTCTTCTACAGATTGTATCTGATGTTCCTACTACCTAAATTTTTACGTTCAAAGTTTTGAAAATTGAACAAAGGTATTTTTAAGTACTTAAAACATTTCTCTATATTTATAATTCTGTATTACATGTATAATTATAAGATATTGTTTGCTTTGACTATCTGTACTTTGTTTTCCTGTGAAGTTTCAACTTACGTGTTCTTGATTTAACTTAATTGTTCCATGTAGCCATGTATAATGGAAAAAGGAAGTTAATATTTGTTATTGTGTTCTATGCCAGGGACTGTACCAAACTCTGATTGGTACATTATTTCATGCCTTACAACTCTGGGATCTAAGTATTGTCAGAAAGAGACTAAAAATGAGAGAAAAAATTACTTGACTAGGATTCCATAGGTGGGAATAATAGAATCAGGATTAAAACTCAGGACTTCAGATGCCAGCATCAATGATATTCTGTCACTGGAAGTGGTTCTCAAAGCAGGGTCCTGACAAAAGCATCAGCATTACTGGGGAACTTGTTAGAACAGCAAGTTCATAGGCTGGGCATGGTGGCTCATGCCTGTAACCCCAGCACCCTGCCTAGGCGGGTCACTTGAGCTCAGGAGTTTGAGACCAGCCTGCACAACGTGGTGAAACCCTGTCTTTACTGAAAGTCAAACAAATTAGTGGTGCACACCTGTAGGCCCAGCTACACGGGAGGACTGCTTGAGCCCAGGAGATTGAGACTGCAGTGAGCCGTGATTGCACCACTTCATTCTAGCGTGAGCAATGGAGTGAGATCTTGTCTCAAAAAGAAAAGAAAAGAAAAGAAAAAAAAGCAATTTCCCAGAAAAGAAAAAAAAAAGTCCCAGACCTAGTGAATCAAAAACTCTGAGGGTGGCATCTGGCAATCTGGGTTTTAGTAATCCTTCCAGGTGACTGATTCCTGCTAAAGTTTGAGATTCATTGCTCTATGCCAATCATCATTCCCTTTGCTCAGGTTAGAATCGTCGGGAGAGCTTGTAAACGTCCCCATGCCCAGGCTGCACACAGATCAATTAAAGGGAGCCTCTGAGGGTGGGACTCAAGCAGCAGTAAAATAAAGTTCATTGGGTGATTCTGGTGTGCAGCCTCAGCTGAAAATGTTATATAGCATTAAACCAGACACTATTTAATTAAACTAAACACTATTTAAATTATTAAATTACATACATTGTTTCAGGCAAAACAACAACAACAAACTTGGGTCTTTAGAGCCCAGCTTTCTGAGCTTCTGCACGAAGTAAGTGGAACATTCATTTCTTCCTGATTTGCTAAGGATTGATCAACCTCCAGCAAAATGTATGATTAGTGAGTGTTTCAGTTTGTGCATCTATTAAATGAGAACCAATCATAGAACATTGAAGTTAAAAAGGACCAGAGAGCTTCTAGGATGAATCTGTCATAGAGATGAGAAAAATCAAGGCTCAGAGAGAGAAGCTAACTTAACTAACTCTGATCAGACTTAGTTTGTTGCAGAAGTGACCTTTCTGTCTCATATTTGTGTCTTGAATATATTCACTACATGAATACACAAACTACCCATTTTATCTTAGTCTACTTCTTTCTTCTCTCTTTGGGCCTGAATAAAGACCAGAAGAACTGATAGACAGCTAAAGGATACTGCAAGCATCATCACTGGAATTGGGAGATTCCACAGAACAATCTGAGAATGAGCTCATCAAATCCAATGAGATGTGTTATTCTGAGACTAATTCCGATAGTTCTAAACTAGAGACTTTTTTTTTTTTTAAATGGTGGACATTGCTTTTATTGTGTAAATAA